TCATATTCACATTCCTATACGCATTCACATTCATATCTGGAACAGTGGCGCACCCTAGCGGCAGGCCATCGAACTACGACACAGGTGCGCGCTCTAGCGGTCACCTTCGGAACTACATGGCCGCAGGGCGCTGCGACGGGTGGTGGGGGACCTCCGAAAGACCTCTCACAGACCTACCGTTTCCGACGTCCCGAAGTGCTCCCGAAAGAGACGTCCTGAAATGTAGCACGGCAGTACTTCTTTCGGATGCCTTTTTTGTTTCATAAGGTACTCCTTCCGTACTACATTTTGGGATGTACAGAGCTCCGAAATGGTAGTACGAGTACTACTTTTGATAGTAGTTTTGTTTACGGGGTCGTTTGAGCATTGTGGGCAGATTCCAGACCTAAAGGGCAAGCCATTTGCCAACACCTCATGGATTTGGACCAAACTTGGTATACCGATACCTTTTGAGTCAAAAAAATTTTTGGTGAAAAAATTAAAAAAAAAAAAAAACTTTTTGTCGTTAAAAATAAAAAAATGTTTCTAGACAATTTGACGTCATCTCCAAAAGTGCTCAAAATTTCACCAAAGACTCATCATTATGTTCTCTTTTCACCTGCCAAGTGCCAATACGGTTAACTAAATACTTTGGGAGATATTAAAGTTTACGAGTCCAAAAGAGACCAAACCCGTTAATTATTTTCACCTAGATTTGCTTCTATTCGAGTCAGCAGTCATATTTCGACTAAAGTAAAGCTCCGTCTTGAAAAATTTGGAACCAGACTTGATAGTTATATTAAGAATGTTGCAATTTAAGGCCACATAAGGAATATTCAGTGATATTTAGTCTTTTCTATGTTAAATAATTCAACTTTCAAAATACAATAAAAACAATTGAATTGAAAAAAAAAATTTTTCACCAAAAATTTTTTTGACTCAAAAGGTATAGGTATACCAAGTTTGGTCCAAATCCATAAGGTGTTGGCAAATGGCTTGCCCTTTAGGTCTGGAATCTGCCTGTGTCACATTTGTTTGGGTGTGAACTGGCCAAAAATCAGCTTGTTCACATTCAAACGAACGGGACACAATGCTTAAACGAACGTGACATATCGTCACGTTTGTTTCAACGTGGTGTCACGTTCCCGGAATGAGAGGGGGACCTTTAAACAGTGTTAGACATGGAAAAGGTAGGGATGCAAAATGAATTCCTGGTTACTTGGATATAATTCATGTGGAAATGATAATACTTTTGTATAAATACAGTGCAAATGTCTAAGAGGATAAAATAATCAATCAATCAATCAAATCGTCTTCATCGTCATATTGAAAAATTTCAGGCTCAGCTGCATTACTTGACAGGGGGTCATCTAACAAGGAAGTAATCGTACCACACAGCTTCTTGGTTTTTGGTTTGGGTTTCTTTCTAAATTCGTTTATCACTGGGTCAGATGACACAAACAAGGCAACCAGGAGATCACGGTTCCCTGCAGTCCTGTTGCATTTTCGTGTATGATGCATTCTGAAGGAGCGCATGTCCTTGTGCCGTGACTCCAGGGGATCTTCAGAGAGGAGGCCGATTGGGATTGGGGCTAGCCTGATGAACGATGCGCCATGAATAAGGACCTTGTGCAATGACGCACACATGTAATACCACGGATAGAGCCGGGTATATTCTCTCGCCGTTTCAACGCTATATTCCTTGAAAGCTTCCGGGTTTATGGCGAAACCACTCGACAGCGTGATTAAGATCACACGCAATCGCTCAAGGAGGGAGGCATCCAGACCCGTCAGTGAGGCCACCTTGTCAGGGTCTTCAAAAAAACGACGGGCTGTATTCCCGTCGTTAGTGTTTCCTGCTAAAAATTGAAACGAAATTATAAGCACAGAAGGTGTGCTACATTGTACCATGTACCATTAAATTTACCTCCTTGCCTAGGCTTGTCCAATATCAAACCTAGTTCTTGCTTAACACTAACTTGAATCCTGACTTTTGCTTCCTTCATTTGTAACTTCTCCTCGGCTGTATATGTTCGGTAGCTTGCTTTAATTTCCAGTCGCCACGCAACATTAAGCATATTTTCAAGGGTTCGTATCCATGCATGAAGTATGGATAACCCGTACTCTAGAGCGTCCTTACTTTCAGGACGAACAATCATTTCAGAGATGCAGTTCATTAACTATGGGGTAGCATAGCACACGTCACACGTCATGCACGATGTCTGAGTTAAGTAGCTCTTAACCTTTCCATCCATCATAGTCATTTCCATCCTTTGAAGAAAACAAGTTGTGTTAAATAAAATAAGGGGAAAGAAGAGGGGGAAACACGAGGTTTCCTTTTCTTTACGATCACGGGTAGGGGGATGACGGGCAACCACTGAGAATCCAAACGCTATGAATATAGCGTCAATTGGTGCAATGCTTGTTCATTGCACATGAAGTGCAGTGCCTTCCCATGCATTAGCATAGGGCATTTTCCGGACGCATTGCACGTACGGTGCTATATTCATAGCGTTTGGAATCTCAGTGAACGTGCAGTTACGTAACTCACCTGTGGGTTATGACGAGGGGATGACAGTAGTATAGAGGGTCCATTGTAACATGAAATTCGTGGGGGGCCCATTGTAACATCCCCCTCCCCCTCCCCCCTGAGCCGCCATCTTAGGTGGGCCTAACCCAACCTAAGGGGCGGTCATGTTGGTCGGGCCTAACCTAACCCACCCCTAACCCAACCGCCCCTATCCTAGCCACCCCTAACCCAACCGCCCCTAACCTAACCCACCCCTAACCCAACCGCCCCTAACCTAAGCCACCCCTAACCCCACCCAACCTAAGTGTGGATCCGCCCGGTGCGTTTATTTACATACCGTGGGCGATTCAGCGCGGTATGAGAATTATGGCGATCGGAGCATTCCCGCTCCAGGGGACTTGTACACGGAAGGTAGGACAGGTGAGAGCCACTTCTTCCGTGCAGTAGACACTAGCGTGTGTCAAGAATGCTGCTGAGTCCTCAAAACGCAAATGAAATACATTTCCAGAAATAACTTAAAAAGACTCTAAAATGATCTTGATCATACAAACACAATTTTCTGTTCAAATGATATTGCTGTGAAGATACTTGATGTAGCCATCAGATTAGCATAATGTAGGATGCAACAAATAAAAAACCTTTTTTAAAAAGAAAGATATTTTAGATCAATGAAAAATCAACACACCTTTACATGTTCATTTTAAGGGGTGTTAAGCCTGTTGGTGGTCAAAATATGACCTTTTATCCCTTTAATGGTCCGTTAACTATGAATAATTTAGATGTGCTGCTCCAAAATTGCAGCTCCACTTTCTTGGAAGTGAGGATATCCTCTATGAGAGAGACCAAATGAAAGCGACAAGTTTCCGTAAACTGACTTGTCAAAAAATCTTGCGAGCCTCATTTTTAAAGTAACCATTAGGTGAACATAATTGAACATTGATTGAACATGATTGAACATAAAATGTTTTTAAACTTGTCTTTCGGAGAACTCCAAGTGTAAGCAGGACTATTTTGATATTGTTAATGGTCGTTGAGATCAAGAAAAATAAAAAGTTTTAACTTATAAAATTTTTAGGTGTTGATCACTTTCAGCAATATCAAAGTAGTGTGGTGTACACTTATCGTGCACCTACAAAGAAGGTGAAAAACATTTCTGCCTATTAAATATTATCATACATGGTTTAAAAAAAATTGGGAACTTTTTTCCAACCTTTACGACAAGTTAGTTAACGTAAACTTTTTGCTAACTTTTGAACAGTTAATTAACATTAACTTGTCGCTAACTTTTGAAAACTTTTTCTCAGGAAATCCGAAACTCCCTCTAAATCAGAGAAGATGAAACTCAAATTTTTATACAGAACCACTATATTCCTCGAAGTTTCTGATCTGTAAAGTTTAACGTAACAAATTTAGTCGTTTCTCTCATCACTCCTTTTAATACCAAACTTGAGTTTCCACGCTTCCTCCCCCAAAAAAAATTAGTCTAGAAGGACATACTAATTGGATTGCAGCTTGTTGCACTATCCCTTTTAGTCAGTTAATAAGAAAATATTAATTATCTTGACACTTCAACAGAATTTTTTTTCTAATCCTTACAATTTCAAGTCGTTTTGATACTTTTTTCGGAAATGACTTCAAATTGAAATTTAAGGACACATTGGGTGTGTGGTACATGGGAGTCCACTAGAATAGTGGCCAAATCACATGTCCCGTAAAGCGGGGATGCTCCGACCGCCATAATTCTCATACCGCGCTGAATCGCCCACGGTATGTAAATAAGCGCCCGGCGCCTACTTGTAACCTAACCTAAGCAGGTCTGGTCTTGTCCGCCGTGGGACCGTCCGGGAACGCTCTGTGCCGTGGGACTGTCCGGAAACGCGCTGTACCGGGCCGCACCGTTCCGCGCCGCGTTTGAATTTTCGCGCCGCCGCCGGGGGAAACCACGCCGGGCCGTGAGGGAAAAAATATCTGCCGAAACCCGGGATCGAACCGGGGATCTTCAGTCTAACGCTCTCCCGTCTGAGCTATTCCGGCTGGAGTACACACCTAAGAATGTAGTCTTTTTTCAGGGGCCTAACCAGCAATCTCCCCTGCGCCGGGAATGGGGGTGGGGGGGATGAGGTGGGGGGTGGGGGTGAGCAAGAAGGCGGTGGAATTTGAATTTTTGGCACAAAATTGGCACTTTTGGAACAGAATTGGCACAAAATTGGCACACTTTGGCACTTTTGGAACAGAGTTGGCACAAAATTGGCACTTTTTGGCAAATAAATTTTGGGGCTCTGTGAGGTTTACCATGTTTTCCAGAAAGCGCGGACCTCCCTTGATTTTCGGTTCCTTGGGGTTTTTGATTTTATTTTTAGGGTTTTGACTTGGTGTTTTATTTTAGGTGTGGTGGTGGTTTTCTCAGTTGGTTGAGCTCTTCCACTACCCGTTTGCTTGGCTTTCAGAATGGCAGTTCTGCGTTTCTCAATCCCTATTAAGTGTGAAGGTTCTATGTAAGATGGGGTAGGAGAACATTAAAGAGGATTGGTATGAAAGGATCGAGTGCCTGTTCAATGAGTGCTTCTTTCTTATGCAGCCAACTTTTATTTTCATCTATCATTGCATGTATATCTTCTTTGTACAGTCTGAGTATATTCTTTTCGTGCCTTTTCAAGTCAAAGTACCCATTCAGGAGGTTCCAGCAAAGTTCACAAATGAAACAAATAAGGTCTTTAGAGGCTTCCTGCAAGATCGCTGCCCTCACAGGCCCACTTTCAGTACTGAGATTACTCATGGCCTTTTTATGTAGCTTTAGCTTTGTCATTAAGAGTGTTACATTATCTGTCTCACTAGCTTCATCAGTTTCATCCTCATCATCTGAACCTTCGTCGTCTTCCATATCCACATCTGATTCATCCTCCCCGTCCATTAGCTCCTCATCTGTCTCCTCATCCCAAGATTCCCACACCTTTCCTTCTTCCTCGCTCTCCTCGAAACTCGACTCCTCACTGTGCTCATCTTCGCTGTCTTCATCATCACGTGAATCGTCACTATGCTCGCTGGCCAAGGATGATTGAGAGGGTTCACTAGGCTCATCCATGTCTGTTTCTGAGTCCTGCAGATCCGAAGTAGGTTTGGCCGGGTGCGAGTGCACTCCTTCTTTCATGACTTGTACGCCCTGAGCATATTGTAGGGTTATGGCTGTTGCCCCACACCGGTCACTTCTAAAACGTACACATCTCCAGTACACTTTGCCATTGTTTGTGTCTTTTTTGTAATACGTGTGTCCATTTAAGCGCAACTGGGTGCTACTTTGCGTGTGCTTAATCATGTTTTTTCCGTCGTTAGGTTCCGTACTCATTGACGAACTAGAGGAAAGTGTGTTATGTGCTCCGGCAACACTCCCTTTTATACCTTATCGCGAGCCACCCTAGCGCCGCCTATCGGCCGATCCCCTTACCAACTAACTCGGATCCGTGCAGGGTATATAAGGGCGGGGGAACACCACACGAGAAGCATTAGCGGATCATGGCTCCTAGAGTCAAGACACACCACGCTGTTCTTCAAGTCCTTCAGACGGCTAAACCTAATCTTCGCAAAGCAGTTCTGCACAGTGCCGACAAACCCATTATTTATGCTATTTGTGAAATCTGTGACAATTTACTTCTGGGCAATATACCTCTCACACCAGACCAAAGGAACAGACTAAGAGAATATCGTGACATTTTACGTCAATTGGCCCAAAAAGGCGAGGGTTGGAGGACGAAGAAACGCCGCCTTGTGCAACACGGTGGATCTTTTCTGCCTTTATTGTTGTCAGCTGTAGCATCAGTGCTTCCAAGCCTATTCGAGCGGGCTTGCAGGCATGCTCCAGTTAGAGCGTACCATGTACACTCTTTGATTTGTAGAGCACGCATGTATCACCGAAAAAAGGGTCGTACAAAAAAGTATCACCCAAAAAACGGTAAAACATCAGCGAGATTGGCCCTTGTTTTCCTGGGGAAGTATCACCCTTTTTTCGGTGATACATGCGTGTACGACCAGTTTTTCGGTTATACATGGGTGTACGACTATTTTTTCGGCGATACATTTTAGTATCACCATTTTTTCGGTGAGACAGTTATGTCTCATCCCTCAGAGAGTGAGATGTATCACTATTTGATTTTCAGTGAGTGGTGCAGCTGCAGCAGCCGGGGCAGCGGCAGGTCCAGCGACGGCGGCAGCGGCAACCGGCAGGGACGGTGCAGGCCCTGCAGCACCCAACGCCGCTTGCGCTTCCATGATGCTGATGGCCGCGGCACAGCGGGCAGCCCGGCCTTTGGGGAGTTGGTAAGAGCCCGCAGGAAGTGGAAGGGCAGCAACGAGTGGAGGGCCGGCAGCTTCCAACCTGGGGCGCTTGGCGTCGGGGCCGCTGGGGCCCAGGACTTGGAGCACAGGAAGGCCGTGGGCGTTGAGGCCGACTTGGAGAAAAGTGGCGCGAAGGCTGCAGCTGCAGGTGCGGCGACAGCGGGTGTGGCAACGGCAGGTGCGGCAGCTGGTGTCCGCGATCGTTGACGAGCACGCCGCTGCTGATCATGGCAGCAGTAGCACGTAGCCACGCCGTCCCTCGGTGGCCGCTGGGTGAGGGCCCGACACTGGCTGCACGCGAAGGAGTTTGCTGCTGCAGTCGCACCAGGCCCTGGAGCGCTGACAGGTTTGCGGCGACTCCTTTCTTCTGCTTGAGCTTCAGCACAACAGTAACAAACGACCACACCTTTGGAAGACGGGGCCCGTGATGTTGAGCGGCGGCAGACGGTGCATCGTGACTGGGGCGGCCGGTTGTTGTCCTGGGCGTCGTCAGGCTGTTTCTTCTTACTGTTGTCCCGGCGTCGGTCGCCACCGCCCCCGGCTCCGGAGGACAGGGGTGGGCCGATGATAACAGATTTCACCTTGGTGGCCATTTTGAGGTTGACAATCGGGATGTGCTCTTGACTCGGTCAGGCTCTGACTCGCACTGGCAGCCGGTGCCGGTGCCGGCTTCAACTTCGGCTTCGCCCCTACGGTCAGCTCACTAGCCAATGAGCGCGCGGCGCAGGGCGAGGGGAGCGAGGGAGGGGGCTGCGGCCGGGCCGGCCGGCGAGTAGGGTGCGTCGATATGCACGACTTTTCAGATGCAGCTTTTGGGTAGCACTCAAAAGTTTCGTTTTTGGCCCGCCCTTCTATTCAAAAAATAGGGGGAGGGCCTATGCATTTGCCATTGTGTCTGTGTGTTGTTGTTGTTGTTGGCGTCTGTGTACAAGGAAGGAGTTGAGCTAGAGTAACCAGATTTGGAGGGTACTTCAGGAGTACCGTCCAAACAAATAATCCGGTGGTGCAAATCCCGTCCGGGTCGCACAAGGGCTGCTGCAGGTGCATCATGGTTTACATGAGCGGGAGGGGGATTTCTGCCATTATTGGTGCTAGCAGGGCACATAGGGGTATTTTTGGAATCGGGGCGACGAGACAAGATGAATGGACCTGGTCCCGACCCCATCGGCCGCTTTTACAAGTTGGCCAGATCAGGATCTTCAAAAAAGGGGGTCGACCGACTAAAAAAATTTATTGCAGATTTCGATTGGTCTCAGCAAGACCTTTTCAACGAGGGGTCGGAAAGGGGGTCCAGGAGCCCGACTTCGTCTATTAGTCACATCAGGATCTTGAAAAAAGGGGGTCGACCGACTGAAAATTTTTACTTAAGTTTTGGATAGGTCTTGGCAAGACCTCTTCAACGAGGGGTCGGAAGGGGGTTCCAGGAGCCCGCCTTCATGATTTATGGGAAAAAGTGCGACGGACTCGTTTTGCGCTCCTGCTGTGCCTCTATTGCAAGGAGTTGCAGTAGCATGGCAAATATGGGTATTTTCGGAATGAGGGCGAAGAGACAAATTAAATGGGCATATTCTAAGGACAGTTGGAGTAAAAAGTTTAAGGACTATTGCATATTGTGAATAGAAGGGCGGGCCTAAGTCACGATGGTACATCGATAACTTTGCTTTACCCGCTCACGGTGTGTGTGATGCGAGCGGGCCGAAGGCCCGGGCCTTCGACTGGCCAAGTTGGGTCTGATGCGAGGGCCGAAGGCCCGAGAAAAGGCCGCCGGCAGGCCAAGCTGGGCCGGCCCCCTGTCGAACCGAGTTGCCGGCGCAGCGAAGCGGAGCTGGCAACTCGGTTCGACGGAAGGGCGGGCCCTAGCTTGTTTTGTGCTGACTCCATAAACGACCGCGGTTTTGCGATAGGACAAAGCCTTCATGACCCTACCGGGCGTTATGTCAAAAAGCGGAGTTTTTGTATTTTTAGGGATTCCGACGAAGGAGGACCCCTATTGCTCGGGACGGCTCAGAATTCTTCTTCTACGGACCCCCCAGAATGGACATTTCGCTCCCGCCATTTTAATCCTATTCATAATACAATAAAAAGTCCAGAAAATCTAAAAAATTTATCGTGGAAATTTTCCGTAAACGACTAAAACATAAATTTGCAACAATCAAGCACCCTTATCCGTTTACATTTTCCAGAAACGTTTCGAAGGAAAAATGTGCCACTCCTCAAAACTAAACCTCCTGCCTCATCAAAGTGACAAGAAATCGTCTGTCTTCTGAGAAAATGGGTAAAACACGAAGAAAAAATCTCCATGACAACGACACGGTGCCATCGTACCAACTGTCGAAATTTTAAGTCGCTGATAAAAAGAAATGAAAACGCCGTAAAATTCGAAAATGCCAATGCTCACTCATTGCACGGTGACCCGACATTAAAACATCTTTGAAGTCTGTCATTAGTCATTAGTTCGTAACAGAAAAGACGCGATGAATAGGGTATTTTAACGAATCCCTGGCCCGGAAGTCAAAGAACAAAAGTAAGAACCAAAACCGCTTCAGCGCATGCGCAGAGGTCCCCCCTCCTCTCTAAGGCAGCGTCTGCGCATGCGCAGAAGCCGTTTTGGTTCTTACTTTTGTTCTTTGACTTCCGGGCCAGGGATTCGTTGAAATACCCTATTAATTTTCGGGGGTTGGCATCAATTTTCTCGGCGTCTGCGCCCTTTCGAAAATCGTGACGCTGAAAAAACGAGTAGTCGCGCATTGAAACTGCCCCTCCATTGTTGCTGAGGTTGGATTGTTTGGCTTGCTTTTAAAGGCTGCGGTTCTATTCTCATGTTTTCCTCAATTCTGTAAGCAGCACGACGGTTGGTTTGACAAACTTTTTAAACTCGGGAGGGGTGTTTTCGGAACGCGGATGACTTTCGTTTGACGAACATGAGCACTGTAAATCGCGAGATCGTGAGATTGACTGAGATGGTCATTGTGTTAACTGAATCACTTTTGAGGATGTAAAAATACCGGTAGAATTCAAAGTTACGTAAATAACGGTAAAATTAACGTAACTAACGTTTAAATGACAGATTTCAAAATGATTTCCACAACCGGAACACCGTGCAATGCGTAAGCATTAGAATTTTTTCTTGTTTTTCGGTTCCGGATTTCATCCCAAACTGTCGGGCCGGCTGTTGCACGGTCGGATGGCCACCGCCTACACTAAATACAAGTTTTGCAGCTTGGCAGGAACACCGGACACCTCACGTGTGTGTCCCAAACCTCAATTTTCACCCTTTTTTTTACTACAATTTTTCATTTTTTTCTCTTTTTTCAGCTTTTATCGAGGATTGTACCGACCCAGTCGGTCTATACCATGACCAGAGGTTGCATAAAACAGTGTAGGGGTACATAGAACGCAAGGCAGCCCCCGGACCGGGGCTGTGTAGGGAGGGGGAAGAGGGAGGGAGGGGAGGTGGAGAAAACAAATGCCAAAATCAGCCCAAATCAGCTGTTTTGCCCTGTTTTGCCTGTTGGTAAATACTGTATTGCGGTGCAGCTAGCTCGGTACACTGCAAGAAAAAGTGTGGATAGTACAACAAAAGTACAACAAAAATTGTACAATAAAAGTACAACAACGATTGTAGAATGTACAACGAGAATTGTACAAACCACAACGAGCCCTGGACTGCCCAGCACTCGTCATGCCGGTTCCGTTGTACTTTGTACAACAATTGTTGTACTTGAAAAGTACACTAAATTCCTGATAAAAAATTTGCCAGAAATTTGTGTACTTTTGTTGTGGTTATTTTCTGCAGTGTAAGTGTTTCTTCTCCTTGCC